CTTCATTATTTTAGCACTGCTATTCCTCAATGCTCTTAATTCCTTGAGTTTGAAATGGTGGGGTTTTTTTCTACTTCATTTTTTTATTTCATTTCTTTCTTTCTTCCTTTTTTTTTTTATTTTTACGTGTGACTTTCCTATTTTTAAAACAAGCATACAAAATAATATATTTCATTGTTATTTTCATACGTAATTTATTTTTATTGATTCTCCATCTTACTCTCTGTTCCTTTACTTCCTCTGTACCCTTCATGCCTCTCTGCTTTCATGTAACATGTATTCAAATACATGCCTATCACACACTATGTGATGACTAATCTCCATTTCATTTGATGAGATCTGGACTTGCCCAGGAGACGCTCCTGCAATCTTTGCTTCATTTGTTAGTTCTCAATATAGCAAGTTGGTACTTTGCCATCCCCCAGAGATGAGTGATTTTGTTTCTTTCAGTATTGTTATAAGCTCCTGCGTTTAAAACTATGTCCTGGGCCGGGCGGCGGTGGTGCACGCCTTTAATCCCAGCACTTGGGAGGCAGGGCCAGTGGTTCTCTGTGAGTTCAAGGCCAGTCTGGTCTACAGAGTGAGCTGAGTTCTAGGATAGCCAGGGCTACACAGTGAAACCCTGTCTTGAAAAACCAAGTGAGTGAGTGAGTGCGTGTGTGTGTGCGCGCGCGCGCGCACACACACACACACACATGCCGATGGTCTCAGAATTATTAAGCAGCAGCAGCTACCTAGTTGTGGCTACGAGTATTCTGTGTTAGCTCCCAAGTTCTTTTACCCAGACTTCAATAGTCATGCAAGTCTCTTTGCTTCTGGCTTTTGTGTGATGTTTAAAATTCTTGCCAATGAGGCATCATTTTCTTTTCCCATGGGGCCACTCTTTTTTTTTTAATTGGTAAATTGCATATCAATGTAATAATCCTGGGTTTGAGAGATTTCCCCTGCTAGACCTTTTCTTTAAGAAATATAGACAGAGATAGGCACAGGCACGTGCATACACATACATATTTGAAAGTAAAAAAAAGGTTCCCCAAATTCATATTGAGTTTTCAAATTAAAGTCCAAAGATATTTTTTCTCTGTGTCTCTATCACACCTTATTTATCACTCATGGTTTTTGTGTTTTGTATGTATGTTTTGTTTATTTTGAGACAGGTTCCAGGTTCCAGGGTAGCCTAAAACTCCATTGTTCCACGACATAGTTCTGAAGGACCTTGAGGTCTCCCAGTGCTGACACTCAGGCACCATTTCTTCGGCATGTGGCTATGGTAGAACATTCATACCTTTGGATGCATGCACTCCTGTCACAGAGGAAGGATCACCATGCTCCATGAACCACTCAGTAGCCATCTTGTGTGACCATGAATGGGGATCCACAGGATAGAGAAAGGGTAGCCGTGGAGGGATCCCCGTACTGGAAGCCCCTCCCCCAAATCACTCCGTGCCTACCAGTCTGGAGAGAGACTACATCTCACCCTGGGAAAGAGAGAAGAGGCATGGCCAAGAAGACAAGAGCCTTTCCACCATGCAGAAACCCCGTGCTGTCCTTGCTAATCCCCCAGCAAAGTGGCCAGGGCAGGCCAGGCCAGGCTTCAGTCCCCGGAGCATGACATCATCAAGCTGGTGGACGATAAGGTGAATTCACGGGATAGTGTCACCGAGTACTTGCTGGATCAGACCCAAATGTTAGTTGACTGTGTCCTGACTCTCCAGGAGACAGTCAAGTCCATGGTCATGCCATTGTTGTTGGACTTACCTGTACCCTGGGGGGTTTCAAAGGAAAACCAGAGAATCCACATTTCCCAGGCTTAGACTGCTGAGATGGAAGGGAGGGGACATTCTGACCAGTGGTATAGACCACTTCTTTACCATGCATGAGTGGATTGTTTTCTTGGACACACATCTCTCCATGTTGGGCCACCTCTTTAATAACAACAGCAAGGCAAACTACCCTCATGGTCCAACCAGAGTGGACACCCACAGCCTCTCTGTAGTCAAGCTCTCTTGTTAGTCTTTCTTTGGATGGCCAGCCCCCAAATAATGACATGGAGACTTATTAATTATGAAAACTTGGCCTTTAGCTTAGGCTTGTTGCCAACTACCTCTTAGAACTTAAATGAACCCGTTTTTTTAGCCTACCTTCTGCTACGTGACTCATTACTTTTCCATCATTTATGTTCAACTTATGTATCTCGCTGGCCTTTCTTGCACACGTGATTCATCCCCGAGTTCCTCTCTCTCCCTTGAAGTCCCACCCATTCTCTCCTGCCTAGCTACTGGCCTTTCAGCCTTTTATTTTCCAATCGCAATGATACATCTTCATACGGTGTACAAATATCCCACAACACCTCTCTCTGTCTTGTTTACTATGTGCCACATGGCAACTGAGGTGCCAGACCTGTGTCTGTGCAAACATGTAGAATGTTCAACATCAGAAGGGACTACTGTGTGACGTATGGTGAAGTCAGTGATAATGGTGTTCAGTGTGGTGTAGCAGGAATCTTAGAAGTTCTTATTAAGAAAAATAAACCCAGAGCCTGGTATTGGGGTGAACGCTGGATGATCAGAGAAGCAGAACAAGCCACAGCTACCTCACATCGCCAGTTCCTCAGCTGATCCTGTTTCCTCAGATTGGAAGCCTCTGAGTCTTCATCCAAATGGATCTCAGCTGAACTGCTGCTAGAAGCTTAAAAACTTAACCAGCCAAAGCGTCTAGTTCCAGGTTTTCACACCTTATACACCTTTCTGCTTTGTGCCATCACTTCCTGGGATTAAAGGCATGAGTCACCATGCTTGGCTGTTTCCAGTGTGGCCTTAAACTCACAGAGATCCAGATGGATCTCTGCTTCCCAAGTGATAGTATTAAATGCGTGTGTGCCACCATTTTCTGGTCTCTATGTCTATCTCGTTAGTGGCTGTTATCTCCTCTGACCCCAGATAAGTTTATTAGGGTGCACAATATTTTGGGGAACACAATACCACCACAGTGTGGGGATGTCAGTGGTGACAAATGTACCTCTCTGTTTGTGTGCTGATTATGAGGAGGCTATGTATGAAGATGCATGTTAACTCTCCTTTATGGGAGCCTAAAATTGTTCTTCAAAATGACTTTGGGGGTTTAAGACAAAAGCAAATGTCCTTGGGCTCCTGATCCACTTGCTTCAGCCTCCCAGTTGGAGCGCTACAGGTGTGCACCATCATGCCTGGCGTCTTTTGCTATTCTGGGTGTTTTCCTTAGTTCTTCTTTAATTCTTGTTTCATACATTACATCCTACCACAAGAAGTCGACTGACCGTCACACTGAGGGAATCTTGGGCAAAAGGGACCTCAAAGCCTGCCCCTATAGTGACACACTTCCTACACCAACAAGGCCATACCTCCTAGTAGTGCCACTCCCTTTGGGGGCCATTTTCTTTCAAACCACCATACATGAGTAATTGTGGAAATTATCATGGAGCTAGGCACTGGTCTTGTATGTATTAAGTGCTGAGGGAGAAAGAATATTCCCTGTGCTCAGAAGAATGCCTTTTAACAGCATAGGATTCAGAAAGGTAGTGTAGAGACTGGAAGGAGAGCGTGTGCTCTTGTGAAAGAGGATCAGGGTGGCAGGACACACAACAGGAATGGGTTTTGCAGAATCGATGAGAATGAGTGACAGAGATAAAGGCAGCAAACACTGTGAGCCTTGCCAGAAGATAAATGGGAGGACTAGAAGAGGGTGGGCTCCTGGGAGAGCAGTGCTGAGTCATGTCTGCCTTCCAATTAGAAAGACTGCATGGAGATGGTGTGCTAATTGAAAAGGAAACTCATCTGAGATTTGCATATGTAATGACTGTTTTTGTTTATATGGGTTGTGGAAGAGAAAGAATTTAGACTGATTTTCTGGGTTTATATTTTAGGACTTTTGAATATAAGCTGCTTCTTTTTCTTCCTTCCTTCCTTCCTTCCTTCCTTCCTTCCTTCCTTCCTTCCTTCCTCCCTCCCTCCCTCCCTCCCTCCCTCCCTCCCTCCCTCCCTCCCTCCTTCCTTCCTTCCTTTCCTTCTTTTTCAAATTGAAAATTAATATTTATTCATATGGTATATTCTGATCACTGTTTTCTCGTCCCATATCTCCTCCTTTTCACATTCTCACCTTTTCAATCCCCAACAAGGAAACGAGAAAGAAAATTAAAGCGATATAATATCTCTTTTGTAATATACGGAAGTTCACAAAATATTTCAAAATGTTCATTCATGTACTCAAGCTCTAATAGAAGTAAATATTTCGTATTTGGGTGTCATACCTTGTATTTGCTAAGGATCCTTTCCTCCCTCCCTTTCTCCCCCCCTGCTTCCCTCCCTCCCTCCCTCCCTTCTTCCCTCCCTCTGTCTTTTCTTCCTTTGTATACATACACATATATTACCAGCCAGTGGGTTGTGGGAACCAGTGAGTATTAAATAACTCTTAATTTTCAAGAAAATTGCTGAGATCCTGATATCACATTGAAAATTGGAAACTGTTTCAACATGAGCAGTGAACAAATGCTATTAGTAGCATCACAGGAAGATTGAAGCGCCAGTGTTATTTCTTTTTACTTTTTTGGGGGCCCACCACCCAGCTCCCAATTAATCACACAAGGACTTGTTTTTACTCATAAATGCCTGGTCTTACCTTGGTTTGTTTCTTTCCAGCTTTCCTTAACTTAAATTATCCCATCTACCTTTTCCCTCTGGACTTTTTCCTTTTTACTACGACTGTAAATCTTGCTTTTACTCCATCACTTGCTGGGAGCTGGGTAGCTGGCCCCTGGAGTTCTCCTCCTTCTCTGGCTACTCCTTCTTCCTTTCTCCCAGATTTCTCCTTCTATATATTCTCTCTGCCTGCCAGCCCTGCCTATCCTTTCTCCTTCCTTGCTATTGGCTGTTCAGCTCTTTATTAGACCTTCAGGTATTTTAGACAGGCACAGTAACACAGCTCCACAGAGTTAAACAAATGCAACATAAACAAAAGTAACACACCTTAAAATAATATTCGCCAACACACCATCCCTTGTGCTTTGTATCAGCTCTGTTCTGCTCCCAGGTGACTTCCTTAACTGTTACTTTGCACCTATAGATTGAGACAAACTCTGAAAGGTTCGGATCTCCCTGTATTTGACTGTTCCAAATGATGCCAAAGTCAATATTTCCACATATTTTTCTCAACCTCACTTACGTGAATGATTCAAAAGTAGAAATCTAGAAGTGGATTTTCTGTACAATCCTCACTGTTTGTTTTTTTCCATTCTCTTATTTATTTCTTGCTGTTTTGTAACTTATGATAACCTTGAACTTCTGATTCTCCACCCTCCAAGCGTCAGGTGCAAGGATTGCAAATGTGCACCTCCATGCCTACCTTATGTGTTGCAACGATCAGACCTAGGCCTTGCTAATGCTAAGCTGCACCGCTATCCCTGTCTTCCATTTTTTTTTTAAAGAGTAATCAAACATTTTCTTAAATTGCTCCTAGTGTAGAAAGTCATCAACAGGTCCATGTTCTATTGCCTACATGTAATTCCTGGGCATAGCATTCTATGTAGTTTTAATCCCATGTATACTTACAACTTCACCAATAAGACATGAGCTTGAGCTCCTAACTAATTCTTTCTATAGTTAGAGCTTTTCTTTGACAATTGTCTGTATTTGACATATCGAACTTTGAAAGATTGGACTGATGGCTCCTTTCATTGTCCTTAGACATATGCCTTTTATCTTTTTACGGTCTGTCTAGTTTTTGACTGGTTGTTTATCAGTTTTCCTATTGAACTACAGAAGATCTTTACATATCTTAGCTGTTTATCTTTTCGTTGTTATATTTTTTGACAAATACCTCATCTCGGTCTGTGTTTCCCCTACTTTATTTATGATGTCTTTCAATATATAGAAGTTATAAATTTTATTATAGTTGATAGTTACCATCATTTCCTTTATAGTTTATGCTTATTGGTTTTGTATGAGATACTGGGATATCATAAATACATTTCCTACTTTTTCATTTTCAAACTTGACAGGTATGCTTTTAACATTTAGGCCTTCTTTGATTACTTCTTTAAAAAATATAAATTGGATATCATTAATCCCGAAGAGATAGTAGTTTGCTAAGAGCACAGATTTGGGGTTGACTTTCAATCATCAATCAGTATTTTATTGTCATTTGGCGTCAAGTACATGCTATATATTTGGAATAAGAATGTGTATGGTGTGGTCTTCATCCCCTTGGAAGATGACTGTCATATAATGTGTGTAGGACATCTTGGTACCACCGGAAACAAGACTATCTTCTTTATCCATGAAGGGGCCATGACTCATTTTCTATGATGCTGTCAACTTTTGTCTTAATGTATATATTTTGCTGTAAATATGGAAAACTGAGACCATAGGACCAACTCTACATCCTTTAAAGGATCCCGATAGTATCTCCATTCCCCAATAGCATGACAAAGGTAAAATTCTGTGGGGCTATGCAGGCATCTTCCAAATAGTTTAGTGAGCAGAATAATTCATCACAGATATTGCTTGCTGAGATACTTTAGATTTATGGCATGGTGAACAACCTGTTTCTGAAGATTGGATTCTGTTTGCAGAGACGGAATGGAGAAGACATACCCGTGGCCCAGACGAAGAACATCAATCATAGAAGATTTGCTGCCTCCTTCAGATTGCAAGAAGTGACAAAAACCGACCAGGATTTGTACCGCTGCGTTACTCAGTCAGAACGAGGCTCTGGGGTCTCCAACTTTGCTCAACTTATTGTCAGAGGTAATACTTTTTGCTTTTGCTTCATGAAATTGCATATCTTTATTAGAACTGAGCAGATCTGTAGACACAGTGATTGGTTTTTAAACTACAATATTCTTCTTTACAAGTCAATATTCCGTATCATTATCAAAATACTGGTAATGTCAAGTAAAGTGGAGATTAGTTTTAAAATTTGTTAATTTGTTATCCAACCAGTGTCTCATCAAATGAAATCTTATTTTGCCATGTTTAATGTGGAGACGCATGTACAGTATTTTCTTCCATATTGCTTTACAGTTTTCATCCCAACTTGAGAGATGCTCCCTCTTGTTGGAGAAATGCTGCAGGTCCTGCTACAGTACTTTATTCTAAGAAATGTTGTGACAACAAGTCACAGTAAATATTTCAGGTAGACCTGTAAACATTGTCAGTAACACATTTCGGTGTTAAAGTATCATTAACTCCTATCTTTTATCAAATCATACAAAGTTAGAATGAATTTTTCCTAATTTTAGTTCCTAAAGTTATTAGAGGAACATGAGAGCTTGCCATATTAGGCATATCTCTTGTGAATTCAGAGAAAATATAGGCAAGGTCAAGATATGTATTTACCTTTATTAAGAATTTACGAGTCCTTATTTTATCTCAGACATTGATTTAGGTTTCAGGAATTCAGTGTAGAGAGAACACAGAGCTCCTGTTAACATGACCCTTGACAGTGGGTACTTTAGGAATGTTATGTAAACATGTAGCTTGTGATTGTGGTATGTATTTAGGTGAAGATTGCTTTTTTCATGAAAGTGATTTTATAGTTTCTTTTTAGGAGGTGACAAGGTGAAATAGAGAGAAAGAGGGAAATTTAGCTTCATGAAAATTTAGAAGCAAATTAGCTTTGTTGAATCAGGTATCAGACAGTCAATCTTGACACAAGTGAAAATAATGTGAAGACCTCACCATGGAGACATTTGGCCAATCCAATGAAAACTATACTCTGAAATTGTACAGAGTAATAGGGGAGCCATTTGTGAATGAGACTTCTCTGAGTAAGGGAAATGCAGGATGGGTAAAGTTTCTAAAGGGTCATGTAGATAGGAGAAGACTTTGGGCAAATGCTTCACACATGGGGCTAAAGAGATGGCATTGTGGTTAGGAGAGCAAATTGCTCTTTCTGAGGACCCAAGTTCATTTCCCAGCACCCATATCAGGTGCCCCATAACTGCCTATAATTTGAGCTCCAGGGGATCCAACCTCTGATGTCTGACCTCCTTGGGCAAGCACACTCACATGCAAAGACCCTCACACAGATACACATTCATGCATGTAAATAAAAATATAAATTATATCTTTAAAAAAGAAAACAACAAATGCCATAGTTCAGGGGCTTGAAAAAAAATGAGATATAATCATAGCCCATTAATCTCTTTTGTAATGCTTGATGATGAATAATTGTTAGAAATATTGTTTGGAGATGTACTTGATTCTCATATATTATTCTTTAATAACTATTGAGAACAGGAAATTAAAATTCAGGTTAGTTGATATTACTCCCAGAGCCATAACAATGTAATACTTGGTGGAGACTGAGTACACACCCATGCTTCTTGTCTCTTAGTGATGATGAGTTCCTTCTCTACCATGTCAGGTTTCCCTAGCATTCACATTTTCAATTAATCATTTTCATCTCTTATATACTTTGCTGAGATCCTACAGCTCATTAAAACCAAAGCAAAAGTTGATCTTTGTAGGACCAATATGCCCTTGTCTTCAATGCAGCCTGACTTGGGACTGCATTGTCTCATCTTACCTGCCCAAGTTCATGGAATTAAAGACCCTTTTATGAAAGAGTAAAAAAAACATGATCGTGTTTTACAGCCTGACTCAGAAAGATAATCCACTATACATTCACATTGATGAGTGCTTATCCATTTGTGTCCACCCCATTTCCGCCCTACTCATGTGAGTCTAATTCATCGGTATGGGGCACCATTGCCATCTCTCTTGTATGAATCTAAGTCTAAAGTCAAAGATGTGCATGAGCCTTCTTTTGGTGTTTCGTAGGCTGGGTTTGCAGGGCTGTGGGTCTGTTATTGACGCACCATGCTCCCTGCATGTCCCAAGTCCTGTGTGAGTTGTCAGATATACTACCCAGAAAGAAGTGATACCTGCTTAGGGCACTTAGAGTGTTTTGGGATACCCGATCTACTACAACACAGAGTTCAACATGTGATGCACTAGAGATATGTTATGTAGGAGCACATACACACAATTACATATACACTTTTTTTATTTTTTTCCCCGAGACAGGGTTTCTCTGTGTAGCTTTGCGCCTTTCCTGGAACTCACTTGGTAGCCCAGGCTGGCCTCAAACTCACAGAGATCCGCCTGGCTCTGCCTCCCAAGTGCTGGGATTAAAGGCGTGCGCCGCCGCCGCCGCCGCCGCCGCCGCCGCCACCACCACCACCACCCCGCCCGGCTTACATATACACTTCTTAAGGAGGGGCCCACACTGGGTGACCTGGATGTTTGTGGAGGACAGGTGGCAGCTGCTTTATCCATGTCCTTTCCTGACACAGATGGGCCATACCTATTCATTAAAAATTTTTCTCATTTATTTAAAAAAATTAGTATGTTGGGATTAGATCTTCAGTATTTGTAATACTTTTTTTTTCATGTGTTTGTTTTTTGGAAGTGTTAGATATGAAATCCAGGGTATATTACGTGATTTTCAAGCACGCAAGAACTAAGTTATGCCCCTATTCCTCGTTACTTGATTTATAAGTAGATTTCTATGATTTTATTGAGGCCTTGTTTTCCTTAGTTGTTGACATATACATTGTTTTAATAGCATTTAAAAAGAATTTTTAAATTCCACACACAATTTAACTTTTTTTTCTTTGATAAAAAAGTTTCCACTTATTATCCATTTTACTTTAGATTTTGTGTTATACATGTGTTAAAGTGCTCTGGATGTGGTAGCTCCATTTTTGCTAACGTTAGAAATATCCATTTTGATACTTTTGACAGTTTCGCTTATTTTCAACATATTTCAGGATCTGCATCAAATATTTGCAGGTGATACGTTGCTTGTTGTATTATCTGAGAACTAATATACAGAAATACGTTTTTCTTACTTGTCCAGATATCCACAAAATAAATACTGCAAACCAAAACCATCTCCTTGGGGGTCAACTATCCTGATTGCTAACCAAAACCATGCCCCTGGGTGTCAGCTGTCCTGTTCCTGAAACAAAGGGGAAAATTCACCATGGTGACAGGTCATATCTCTCGGTGGCACATTTAAAACTGATGTCCTGCTGTATGGACAC